AGCATTTGTTAGATGGCCTAGGAACAGGTTTGAGACACAGGGATTACTGCACTGGGCCATAGAGAGAGAGTAGGGCAGAGAATGAAAGCAAAGAAGACAACAGGTTGAATCACGCTTTGAGGACAAGGAAGATCAAACCACAGCTAGAACTAAAAGAAGGAAAAAGCCTAGGAGAAGAAGTGTGGAGGACTGGGATGCCACTAGAGCACTGGGCTTTGTACAGAGTTACAGTTTGGCTGGACTAATTCTAATTGAATGTAAGGCATGCCAAAGCGAAGGACACTGCAGCACTAGGAATGCAAGCTGATCAAATCTGTGTATGCAGAGTATTTATTCAAACGTGTTTGGGACAGCATAGAAGTCAAGGACTGATTTGCAAGTCCAACCACCTGGTCAGCCTAGCCTCAGCCAACTTTACACCTGCGGGAATGGGCACTACAATTTTTTTCTTAAAACAGGTCTGAAGACAAGGGCAGAACTTGACCCTGGAAATTGGATTCCAGTCAGTACTCAGGGAAATCAGTCACCAGAAGGCCATCAGTGACTGTGTCAGGAGTGTCAGAAGTGGTGTGAAATGTTAAAGCCTTATTAGAATGTGGAGATGTGAATGAGAGGGTTAACAGATCCAGGAGAAAACCCTTATGACAAAAGCAGTGAGTAGAGGATTTAGCAAAGGGTATATTTCGTATGTAGTGGTTGTAACAGGTTCAATTCCCAAGGTATTCTCCTAGGAGTAAAGCCTCAGGGATTGACTACGTTCATTTTCCTCTTGCAAATGGGACAAATGATGGCCTAAAAACAAATATGTATTTACTTTCTGCATTCCGTAGCACTTGAATACCCATGATTAAAATGAGGCTGTTTCGTGATTTGCAACCCTGCAACTCAATTTAGTTCAGTCCTCATGGGACAATGTGTCTGTTGAAGCATATTATAAGCAAAGAATCTCAACAAGTTTGGAGGTCGATTGGTAGACACAGACAGCAGTTTAGAGACCTCTGCTGAGTACACCCTTGGGCTGCAAACAGTGCTCTGCCTCTCACGGCAGCAGAGGCCTAGGCTACAGCGACTTTACCAGCTGTTCTGGGAGTAGCCAAAGAAAGGGGAGGCAGTGGGGAGGGAGAGAAATAGCAGAAACAACATACAAATGGGACGGAAGGTTATAGCTAATAACTGTACTGGCAGGCTTTGCTTTGTGTAACCTTCAGAACAAGGTTCAGAAGTGAGTTTCTGGTGAAGTTTCAGATTGTCTAGATCTCTGCCAAACTAGCTTGTTCTTCCCTTGTACAAACAGGATTATAGAGAAGAGAAATAAAAGCAAAGATGTGCTGTCTGTTGGCTTCAGTAGCAGGCTTGTCTCACTCTGGGTTGGATTCATTGAACATTTGGACATTCAATCCCTGTCCTATCTAAATCTCCTGTAGCATCTGACTTCATGCTATGCTGCTTTCTGGAAGGCAGGGAAGCTGTATAGAATCAGTGAGGTGGTAGGAAGCATGGAGAATTTGGAGGGGGAAGTTGCACCCTCAAAAACAGCGTAGCATTGAGGTTTCTGGGTACAAGTGGAGGATCCCACGTGGCACAGCACTCTTACACTGTCTCAAGCACTGGAAGTGGCAAAGGCATCATGTAAGTCTGGTTTGGGCTACCCTTAAAAAGCTCTGAATCAGAATAGCTCTTTAGATCTGGCATTCTGAAATGACTATTTTATTTCCAGTCCCATAAGCAAAGTTAGAAGGGACTTGTCTGTCCCATCTTGCCTGCAGAATGGGTTATGCCCTAAATTACTTGCCCATGGTCAGAGAGACTCAGTGGCAGGATCAGGAGTTGATCTTCGCACCCAAGATTCATGTCTATTTCCTATATGTGAGAGAATGTTACTACAAGTCCATCCTGAAGGATTCTGATAGAAAAATTTCCCAAAGTCATGTTGTGCAGTTACATATTGTAACTGAATTGATCTGACAGCTTTGACCGAAGAAGGGAAGCCCCACATACACATTCTCACCCAGTGCTCCCTGCCACTGTTCTCAACTGCACTGTTTCACTCTTGTGCACCACCTTTCATGATCTCAGACCTCCACTGAGCTGATTTCTTTCTTCTGGGTTAGTTTTCTGCCAGATTAGTGGTTTGAATTAGCTTACTGTAGAGTCCAGTGGGTGCCAGAGCTGGTGCAGGGTGCTGGTGGAGCAGGTCCATGAACAGGAGCAGAGGCGCAAGGCCCTTTTCAGTTATTTGCAGATGAGCTCAAGCCTTAACATAGAAGTTCATCATTGACTGCAAAATTACCCCACAACCAGCAGTAACGGTGGCTCACAAGAGAGGAAGAGTATTTCCTCCCCAGAAGAGGAATAAACTTGACCAATATGCAAGTTATTTCCATGCTCTTTGCAGGTTCCCCTATTAATTTCTTTCTTTAATCCTAAAGCTCAGCTGGATTAATATTTATATCAAGTCACCACACACACTCTCATCCTCCCCAGCATACTCTGTAACCTTGAGGCTTTTGGGAGTGGTGATTATGCTGCTTACTGCAGCCACGCTCCTTGGAACAAAGCAGAGAGAGACTCCGGGCTTCACTCTCCCATCCTAGCAGGATGCAAGCAGTGATGGGCATCATGCAGAAAGGCTTGGCTCTCCCATGTTATCTTCTCAGGTACATATGGAAGAATGACTGATGGGAGGTAAGAATTGCTGCTGTCAGCATTGCAGCGCCCAGCAAAGCTGTGATCTCTCCTTCCAGAGCCTCATCTCTCCTCAAGATCTCTCTGCTATACTGGCATTCCCTCAAGCTCTTTGCTCTCCCTGCTCCTCCCCCATGAACCATCACTGCTTGAACTATCCAATGCCTCTTGTTCTTAAAATATATATTGAAACTGGGTAGGTACTTAGATACTTGCATATTCACTTATCATTCTGAAGAAGCACATGCTGCAGTACTGTTGCAAGGGCGCAAGCAGGTAACACTAAAGAGAATCACTTTATAAATCCTGCAGAAGTACTAATGACATCACCTCTCTGTTCCTGAAACAGCCCTGCATCAGCACAGTCCTTCTTGCCACAGTTTTATCCTGTGATCTAGCTAACCAAGCAAAAAAGCACTTTGCTGTCCAACGATCAACATTTCAGCCCTTCTGTCATCAGTCTGAATCCAACTAAGAGTAATCGGGGAAAATGTAGTAATTGTAAAGACTGAAGCATGACAACTGGAACATTCAGTCTCTGTTGTAGGTGAAGCAGATGTTAGACCAATATTCGTTAGTGGGGATGTGAGATGCTGCCATTGTGCATACCTACTACAGTGAGAACTGAGACTCTGTCTTCCAGGCTTAGCCAGTCCTTGGCCTTTCTTAGATACCAGCCATAGACAGTCTTACTAGGCACCAGGTTTAAGGAGTGATTTCTTTTAATGGTATGCAATTAAACTGTGGAACTCACTGCTAGAGGGTGCAAAGTTTGATTAGCCTCAGAATACTTAGAACAAATTCACATAAGGAAATCTTTCAAGTGTTATTGAATGCTAAGATGCAGATACAACCCCAGGCAGTAGGTATTCCTAACCTGCTTTTGTCAGAAAAGCTAGGAGGGTATGGCCAGGAGCTGGATTGCTGTGCACCTCTTCTATTCTTTCTCAAAGCACCTGAAACTCTCAGGGACACACCACCAGGTGAGAGGAGCGCTCAGCCTGACCCTCCATGGCTACTCCTGTGGGTTTAGGACATTTTACTATGCAGTTCAGTGTTCTGAACTGCCTCCAAATGAACATGTGC